CCCCCGCCACCGCCCCAGGAGGGCTGCCTGCCACCAGACGCCCTGGGGGCTGCTGGGCCATCGCTCCTCCCCCTGGCTCCCAGCCTCCCTGACCAGTGCCAGCCCAGGCCCCCCTCTCTTGGGCTGGGCCCTGCCTGGCCGGCCCCTCTGCACCCCGCACCTCCCACCCTTGGGTCCTCAGCCTCCTACCCAGCACATGCCCCCAGCTCCCCGCCCTCTGTGGGTGGGGCAGTGGTGGTCACTGCACCCCCAGCCTCACCCAGGACTCCCGCCTGGGCACGGGGCCACCAGCCAGGCTCCCTGGCGGGCATTTCTGTTCAGCAATAAAGGTTGTCCCATGTCTGCTTGGCTGCCTGTCTGTCGCCACAGCTCACGGACAGCCGCTGCCCACGGGTCCTCTGGGAGCCCCTGTCGCCATGCCACAGCGCCTCCTACCCAGCACATGCCCCCAGCTCCCCGCCCTCTGTGGGTGGGGCAGTGGTGGTCACTGCACCCCCAGCCTCACCCAGGACTCCCGCCTGGGCACGGGGCCACCAGCCAGGCTCCCTGGCGGGCATTTCTGTTCAGCAATAAAGGTTGTCCCATGTCTAAAAAAAAAAAAATTAAAAAAATAAAATATAACTGTGTAAGATATATTTAACTCCATGATTGATTGATATTTTACCTAGTATTTTGTCGCAAAGTAATTTTCCTGAAAAAAAAAAAAAAAAAACTAAAGGGAAAGCATCAATGACCTCTAGCTTCCAATATTGTTGATAAGAAGCCTCATTCAAATTTAGTCTTCATTCACTTATAAGTAAGCTGTGATTTTCTATGGAAATTTTTAAGTTTTTTTTTCTCTTGAATTTTATAGTTTTGAAATTTCACAAGAGATTTCTTGTGTTCTCTTTTATTTTGTTCCTTTGTACCCAGGGATCTCTTTTAGTATAATAATAGAGATACTCAGCTCAGAGAAATTGTCTACTATCCCTTTAATTATTTTCTCACTTCCACTGGAAGTCTGATTAGATAATGAACCTATCTTTCACATCTTTTAACATTCTAATTTATTATTATTTTTATCTCTCTCTTATGTCCTTACACTAACTTCCTCAACTCTGTCAAATTAACAGTCATAATTTTTATAATACTAGTAAAAAACAAATGTAGTGCTTACTTATGTTCTGGGTCCATAAATTTTCACAACAATCCCAAATGGTAGATACTAATATAACCTCATTTTACAGATAAGTAAAGTGAGGTAAAAAGAGCGTAAGTAATTGTCCAATGTGGCACAGTTACTAACTTGCAAAATCTGGATCAAATCCAGAGATTGTGACTCCAGAATTTGTATTTTAAGCAATTATTCTATTCTGGTCCACTATTTGCCACCAAAGGGATTGTACAGAAGGTGTAAAAATTATTGCTCAAGAAATCAAGATGATAAGTGAATGGACACAGTTTCTAGTTGTCTCATCTCTTCCTCGTGGCGCTTGCCTGAAGTTTAGTGGTCAGTGCAGCTCATGCAGAATAAGACTTCAAGGTCAGAGACAAGTTAGAATTGTAACTTCTGCCTTTCATACTGTTAAGCTGAGGATGAACCATCCCAGCAATCCAAACTTTCTCTACAAATATTTGAAACATGTTGTTGTGTCCCTGTTGCATTCCTCTAAATTCTTTTTCTGACTATCACCAAGCTAGAGCATTGTTGAGCACATGTTTACTTTATCTCTTTCTTCCATGTTTCTTTTTCTTTTTAAATCTTAACTAAGACTTTCTAGGAAGCAGTCTTATTCTCTGTGATAACTTTTTCCTACATATATATTTTGGGTTGTAGTCTATAACAACCCCTACATATGTTTCCTAGATTCCAGATATTCTCCAAACTGTCCTGGACATTCAGGCAGTCTTCTTTTTTGCTAGAGCTGTTATAGATTTACTAGAGGCCCATTACACAAAGAGATTTGTGCAATAGGCCTTCTTTCCCCTGGCTGCCGGCACCAGTTTTCCTCCAGCACCCGGGACCCAGGCCTTCGCTCTGGCCGCAGCAGAGAAGCCAAGCCTGGAGGCTTCTCCACTCCGACCACAAGAAGGCAAGCCTCTTCAGTCTTCAGTCGTCTTCAGTCTTCGCTGGGCAGAGCCTTCAGTCTTTCACTCAGTGCCTGCATATGCAAATTAAACGCCATCTTTGTTGGGTAATTTGCATACTCATCCTGATTGGCTGGTGGGCATAGTAGAGTGACACCAATTTGCATGTTTCTCTTTTATTAGTGTAGATTAATGCTTTGCATAATTGTATGTTCATTTTGGTGGGAGAGGTAGATGTGCTCAGACACTCATTTCCAACCAAATGCATGACAGTCTGAATTTCTTCAGTTCTGAAATATTCACCCAAATACTCATCTATTCTCTCCAAAACACATTTGGCTCCACAGAATATGGAATAAGAAAAATCTTTCCAGGAAGATCACTTCTGACATTATTTCCAGGAAATAAGTAGACAAATTTACAAAGTGTGCACAGAACTAATGCATAAGCGACTGGAGTAAATACTCCAGTTGAGTGTATCTACCTCTACTGAATACACCGTCCAACTTTCAAAGTACCCTTTGGAATATAGAACTTTACCAGTACTACTTTTTAAAAAAAATATTATTTTTATTGATCTCAGAGAGGAAGGGAGAAGGAGAGAGAGACAGAAACAACAATGATGAGAGAAAATCATTGATCGGTGGTCTCCTGTACACCCCCACCCCCACTGGGGATCAAGCCCATAACCCAGGCATGTGCCCCTGACCAGAATTGAACCCATGACCCCTCAGTCCACAGGCCGATGCTCCATCCACTAAGCCAAACCAGCCAGGGCCAATTCTACTTTTGAGATGGAAATGAATACCTAGTGCCTGGTTTAAAACAGGATTGTCTGTGGCAGCAAACATATAGTTAAAAATCATTTTTTAAAAAGTGGTCATTTTACAAATGGCATAATGAGTTTTTGTTAGTTCAGGCAGCACTTGTAGAACTATGATTCATCTGTCCCTTATAGAGGAAAAAAAAGATCAAATTCAGTAAATGAAAAATATGAACCATCAACAAAAAAAGGAAACAATATGTGTCATTAAAATCAACACCAGCTTTGACTTATTGTTACTGGAACTTTCACCACAACCTGTGGCACACTTGTAATAAATTCCATTCTCCCCAGTATGTCAAATTCTTCAATTTAGTCTTGGCATTTAATCTACTGGAAAAACCATTTATTTATGTTTCTATGTATGCCCCTGAAGCCATAGACATTATCTTTTAAGTAACTTTCCTTTTGAATCCAAATTGAAAATATAGTTAAGCATATTTGAAATGTTCCTAAAAGTTGCATTGGGATTTATAATAAAACTTGATGGAGGAAGATCTTGGATGATAGGCGGGGATGGTAGCAGGTCATGTAGATTCATGTTGCCTGCCTCAAGGAGGCTTGGGAAATTTTTCAGGAGCAGTCCTACTCAATGTTGACTGTACATATTGGCCAAAGGGAGCTGTCACCTGAATTAATAGGTGGGATTTCTTACAACAGGAGCTCATTACTGTTGCTGCCTGTTGCCAGAATACAGTTACTTTGAAACTCAGAGCTCATTGCTTGCCACATTCCAAATTATAAGTGTTGCCATTTGTTATTTCTTTTTAATTTTTCCTTGTGTGGACCACAGGTAATTTAGCCAACTGGAAATGCGAATGAATTGTCTGCTCCATTAGTGGTACCCATTGGTTCAGTGCCAATGACATTTAGGTTCAGGCACAGTTGTCTCATTTGTCCTCTGATCTTGCCATTTCTAGTGCTCAAAAGAGGCTTCAATATGAATAAAAACAGTGAGGCAAAACATAAAGCGACTGCTGCAATAATCTTAATAACAAAAAATAATAACACTGTCACTTTACACTTCATCTGTTCGCATTGCTCTTTAAAATATGAACTTTTATGGCTTCATTTCCCCAAATGTCATTCTTTAATCTTTTTTTTATTTCTCATGCTAAAATAATATAATACCCAACATGGCAATCTTCATCACAGGATTTTTTTTATGATAGTTTGCTGCCTTGTGAAAACCATTTCTTTAGTTCCTTTTGTCAGACTAAGGGTGAGGCATTTTCTCTACAGCAAATAGATGGGTAATTTAAAAATCTATAGATAGAGTTAATTTCTATAACTATGGACCCACATTGAGACTGAAGCTTCCTTAATAACCTATGATGATGTTTTTGTTCTGTATGCATATTTCCGTTACCCGTTTTACCTGTTGTTACCCTTGCTTAGAATTACATTTTATTTTACCTAAGTCTATATGATATTTTGTGAATATGTTCACACCTATTCATTATTTTCCCCATAAATATTAATACTTCATATCTGTACCAAAAAAAAAACACCCTCAGGAATTGGAGATAATTATTTTTTCACTAATGGATTGCCTGCTTTTATTGGTATGAATTATTTGGATAACCAAACAATTAGGACTTGCTCACCTTAATTTTAGTACCATAAATAGAATATCTGCCAGAATTCTGTGGCAGACACTTTTATCTTAAAAAATAAATACTGAGCAAAATGAATACAGAAAACACAAATGTAATAATGTTAATAACAGCATTAGATACATTGCTTCTTGGGCAACACAGGTGCTGGTTTTTATAGCAACATTAGATTAATCATTTTTCCCCTTCCACTGGAACAGAAAGGCATAGAGGGAGTGTGAAATATATTTTTTCCCCGTAACAAGCCAATCTAAGAAACACTAATCTAAGGAAGTGAAATTATATGATTTCAGAAACCTGTGCAACTTGGAAGTAAAAGAATGTTTAAAGTTGCCATACATGTTCTTTTCTCCATCTCATCTGGGAACCAGAGACCATTAGTAACAATTCATAGCTAGC